TTCTGTACCCTGGGAGGAGAAGGGTGGCTTCCTGCCCATCTTCCTAACACCCCTCCCCCCACAGAGAGGAGGGAACCCCCACCCCACCCTGAGTGTGGGAATTCCCTGACACCGCCCCCCCACAGGCCCTTGCTGCCCCTGCCCCACCCCTGAGCTTTAGGCCCACCACGGGGAGGTGGGGTGGGGAAGGGGTGCCAGGTACCAGTCTGTAGGGGAGAAGGTGGTCAGCACAGCCTGTGAGTGGGGGCGGAGCCACAGGAGGGTTCTTTTCCCTCCCAGTCCTGAGGGGAAGGAAGCCTGCCCCACCTTCTTGTCCAGCAGCGGCCGAGGCAGAGGCCTCGCTGTGTCTCCTTTCCCTAGGCCTCCCTGCTGGCCCCGGGCACCTGCCTTTCCTGATGCTGTACCTTCAGTCCCCTTTCCTCAGGGCCTGGGGCTGTCCACCCCCCTCCTCCCAGGGGCTGATTGGCTGATCTGCACTGGCCGGACTGCCCTCCCCCTGGCTCTCCACCCCCAGGCCAGGAATGGCCCTGGGTCCAGCATTTCGAAACCAGGATTGTTTTGAAATCTCTGAGTGTCTCTCCACCCCCTCCTCTCTCCCCACAGCCCAGAGCCTAGTCTCCTAACCTGACGCCACACTGTGCATCCTGTGTCCTGCCAGGGTGCATGCATGCGCGCGCACTAGCACATGGCCACATGTGTACTCCTGTGTGTGTGTACGTGAGTGTGTATGGAGTGTGTGTGCTAGCACATGGCCATGTGCATACTCCTGTGCGTGTGTGTGTGTGTGTGTGTGTGTGTGTGCGCGCACATGTGCATGTGCACACTCCTGTGTGTGTGTGTGTGAGTGTGTATGGAGTGTGTGTGCTAGCACATGGCCATGTGCATACTCCTGTGCGTGTGTGTGTGTGTGTGTGTGTGTGTGTGCGCGCACATGTGCATGTGCACACTCCTGTGTGTGTGTGTGTGAGTGTGTATGGAGTGTGTGTGCTAGCACATGGCCATGTGCATACTCCTGTGCGTGTGTGTGTGTGTGTGTGTGTGTGTGTGCGCGCACATGTGCATGTGCACACTCCTGTGTGTGTGTGTGTGAGTGTGTATGGAGTGTGTGTGCTAGCACATGGCCATGTGCATACTCCTGTGCGTGTGTGTGTGTGTGTGTGTGTGTGTGTGCGCGCACATGTGCATGTGCACACTCCTGTGTGTGTGTGTGTGAGTGTGTATGGAGTGTGTGTGCTAGCACATGGCCATGTGCATACTCCTGTGCGTGTGTGTGTGTGTGTGTGTGTGTGTGTGCGCGCACATGTGCATGTGCACACTCCTGTGTGTGTGTGTGTGAGTGTGTATGGAGTGTGTGTGCTAGCACATGGCCATGTGCATACTCCTGTGCGTGTGTGTGTGTGTGTGTGTGTGTGTGTGCGCGCACATGTGCATGTGCACACTCCTGTGTGTGTGTGTGTGAGTGTGTATGGAGTGTGTGTGCTAGCACATGGCCATGTGCATACTCCTGTGCGTGTGTGTGTGTGTGTGTGTGTGTGTGTGCGCGCACATGTGCATGTGCACACTCCTGTGTGTGTGTGTGTGAGTGTGTATGGAGTGTGTGTGCTAGCACATGGCCATGTGCATACTCCTGTGCGTGTGTGTGTGTGTGTGTGTGTGTGTGTGCGCGCACATGTGCATGTGCACACTCCTGTGTGTGTGTGTGTGAGTGTGTATGGAGTGTGTGTGCTAGCACATGGCCATGTGCATACTCCTGTGCGTGTGTGTGTGTGTGTGTGTGTGTGTGTGCGCGCACATGTGCATGTGCACACTCCTGTGTGTGTGTGTGTGAGTGTGTATGGAGTGTGTGTGCTAGCACATGGCCATGTGCATACTCCTGTGCGTGTGTGTGTGTGTGTGTGTGTGTGTGTGCGCGCACATGTGCATGTGCACACTCCTGTGTGTGTGTGTGTGAGTGTGTATGGAGTGTGTGTGCTAGCACATGGCCATGTGCATACTCCTGTGCGTGTGTGTGTGTGTGTGTGTGTGTGTGTGCGCGCACATGTGCATGTGCACACTCCTGTGTGTGTGTGTGTGAGTGTGTATGGAGTGTGTGTGCTAGCACATGGCCATGTGCATACTCCTGTGTGTGTGTCCCAGTGTGGTGCATCTTGTCAGCCAGCAGCTCTGTGCACTGGCCCGCCCCTCTCATTCCTGAGCTCTCCTGGGCCTTCTCTATGAGTGTGAAAGCCTCCATGGTCTGCAGGAGCCCAGGCCCTTCCTGGGGGTGTGGGTGATGTTTAAGAGGTGCCTGGGTGTGTGTGTTTGGGAGTTGTGTCTGTGCGTCTCTCAGCTACACATGTCGGGGAGTATCTCTGAGGAGCGTGCATAGTTGTCTCTTTGATGAGTGCATTGCTGGTGTGCGCACATGGGTGCTCCGCGCCTTTTCCCGCCTTCTCCTCCCTGGGAACACGTCTGGGGTGTATAGTCACGTCTCCCTGGAGCTGCCTGGGACATGGAGTCCTCTGTCGTTCCATAGGGAGCTTGCCTGGCGTGGGGCCAGGCCTCCTGGCAGTTCTGTGGTCCTTGGAGAGAAAGTGGTAGAGTGGGGAGGCTTTGGGATGAATTGTCCCCAGGGCTGGCCTCTCTCCCTCTGTCCCTCATGGACACCCAGTGCCATGAGGATCCCAGCATGACCTACCGGTCCCCCCTCTTCTGGTCCGGAGGCTCCGTGGTGGGCGTCACAGGGAGGCCCAGTGCTCCGAAGGAACGGGCGTTAGCCCTCCACCCCTGGGGTCACTTGCTTTTTGAGGACAAGAAACAGCCAGCTGCACCGGACCAGGGAGCTTGGTGGCTAATTTAAGGTCTGAAAGCTGACTTCTCAGCTAGAGGCAAAGAGCAAAACAAGACCAGACACTTGTATTTCCAGCCTCCACAGAGGACGGAGGGGCCTGAAGTCCTCAGGGGGTGGTGTGCCGCCCCAGAAATGGGGAGTGTTTGGGGCGGGGCCAACTGCCATTGCAGCAGATCCTGGGAAATACTTCAACAACAACAACAAAACACATACTTTTATTGATTTCAGAGAGGAAGAGAGAGAAACATCAATGATGAGAATCAGTGATCGGCTGCTTCCTGCATGCGCCCTACTGGGGATGGAGCCTGCAAACTGGGCATGTGCCCTTGCCCGGAATTGAGCCCAGGACCCTTTAGTCCACAGGCCAATGCTTTATCCACTGAGCCAAACCAGCTAGGGTGGGAAGTCCTTTAAAAAAAAAAAAGATTGATTGGCTTGAGAGAGAGAATCATCGATTTGTTCCGCTTATGCATCGATTGGTTGATTCTTATATGTGCCCTGATCGGGGATCAAACCTGAAACCTTGGCATCTCAGGACGATCCTCTAAACAACTGGGCTACCTGGCTGGGCCCGGGAAGTCCTTTATGGTCAGTCTCATTCCTTCCTCCTGCCGCTGGAGAGTGCTCTACGGGAGGCAGGTTGCCCGGTGCTTGTTTTTGTTGCCAAACCCAGGTAGTGAGGGTGGCAGAGTTACCTCTGCATGGGCTGTGGGCAGTGAAAGCCCAATGCCCCTGTGCCATCCTGGGGTCTCAGGCTAGAACCGAACCAATGCTTTCCTCTGGCAACTCCTGTGGCCAATCAGCGACGAAGAAGAGGGCTGGGCAGGGGCTGTGTGAGGGGCAGGGGCTGTGTGAGG